GACAGTGGGCAACATGAGATGTATTTGGATGCCGAAGTCTAACAGCAAGAACAGTACAGTAAATACTTTTTTTCCTTGGGTCCCACAGACAGCATCCAGGGCCTCACACATACTAGACAGGCAGGCTCCATCTCCAGCTTCAGCAAATGTTTTTCATACATGCAGGAATGCACTCCGAAACAATGACAGTGCCGTACAGCAAACATGTAAGCCAGTAAATTCGTCATGCCTTGTCATGGCCAGGTATAGCATGCTGTCTATAATTGCGTATACTATACTTTTACAACTGCTAACAGAGTAGGTTTGTTTACAGTAGATCACCACAAGCCGGTGAGTAATGTCCTCTGATGTCTGAACAGTTACCATGTCACTAGAAGATAAGAAGTTTTCAGCTGCTATTATCTTATGAGACAGCCTATGTACGTGGTCCATCACTGACCAAAGCAGAAGTCAAAAGACTGAGCAATAATAATAATATGAGAATCGCTCTTTAAAAAAACTCACCTTCCACCACTGTCTTGGTACTTTGTCAAGTGTTGATGGTTGGTAAGGAGACTAGGGGGCAGAACAGACCTCTGGTCAGCCCAGAGTTCCATGGCTGGCAGCTGGCAGGAAATCCCTAACCTCCAGTGTTGAAAGCCACCTGGAAAAGAGTCCTGTGTGCCAGAAGGAATCGCTCTACAATGACATGGGCAGGGGGGAAGCGATTATACGAGGTGCGTTTTTCTACGGTGTTTGTGGCTTGACTCATTCAAATATGTTGTACTGGGGAGGTCGGATGAGGCCAGCATTCACAGCACAACCACGGCTTAGGAAACAAGTGGTACCACCGTCCATAGACAAGCTGAGCCTTGTTTTCAGCCCTCACTGTGGATAAGAAACGTGAGGAATGAATATTCTATCTATCTATCTATCTATCTATCATCTAACTATCTATTATCTATCTATCTATCATCTATCTATCTATGAAGGCTGACATCAAATTCCCTGCCACTTCCCAGCGGAATTTTAGTCAGAATCTCAGAAGATGAGGCCCAGACACTTTGGCTTGGGTCTTTACTAGGCTTTCCTATTTTGTTTTTGAGATGGGTTCTCCTATATTATAGCCCAAGTGAGACTTCAGTTCCTGGGTCCAGGTGATCCTCCTGCCTCAGGCCCCTGAGCAGTTGGAACTGTTGGTATACATCACCATGCCCAGCAAAATGCTACCAAGCCTCAGCACCAACCCTTCATGTTTCTTTGTTTGTTTCTAAAGATCCCTAGATGATTCTGGGGTTCAGTCAATCTTTTTGTGGCATAGATGCAGAAACAAACCTAGCAAGAGGGCATAATTTGCCAAATGTCAAATGTTCTGGAAGCAGGAGACAGATAAGATACACTGATTTCTAACTCAGAATGAAAAAACTAAACAGAACAGAACCTAAAACTCAACACTTGGTGTCTATGGATACGGCTCAGTGGTTGAGAGCATGGAGCATGAACTGTTCTTCCAGAAGACCTGGGTTCTGTTCCTATGGCCCATGCCGGGGGGGGGCGGGGGGGGGGAGAGCTCATGACTGCCTGAAACTCCAGTTCCAGATCCAGCCCTCTTTTTCTGTCTGCCCTCCAAGGGCTTTTCCATGCATATTCCCTCACTCCTATACAGATATTCAGACATATACATCAAGGGAAGCATGAGCGGGAGGCTTTCGGGTTACCACTTGGTACCCAGGTGGTCCTCATGTCATGTCTTCTTGTGGGGTGACTCAGCCTAATACAACAGTTGAGGTTTTTTTTCCTTAAATATTTATGTTAGTTGTAATTATGTATATGTCCCTAGCAGCATCGTTTGGCTCAAGGCCTTATCACATTCTAATGTAATCCAGAGTTATGCTTATAAATTTTTAAAATATTGTATTATTGCTCTGTGTGTGTGCATGCACGCACACACGCATATGAATGCACATGGATATAGATATGTGTGTATGCACCTACTATGGTATGTTTGCGAAGGTCAGTGGACAGCTCTTGGCAACCAGTTCTCTCCTTCTACCTTGTGATCTGGGATCAAATCCAGGCCATCCGTTTTACCTAGGAAAATACTTTTACGTGCTGAGCCGGCCATCCCCGCAGCCCAAGTTCTGCTTTTCAAAAATCATAGTTGCAAAGCGTGTTAGTGCCTTTCTCCTTTCTCTCTGCAGTGAGCAGATGACTTTTTGGATCATACCTAAAACTCGGGTGTCCCTTGGATGGACAGCCTATAGCTCCTCTAACATGTTCCCTGCTGATGAATCTCCAGGGGTAGACTTCCCACCTAATGGGAGTCAGCAGCCCAATGTAGCAGAAGCTTCCTTAGTTTTTCCAGGCCAAGCCATCCACCCCTGTAAGATGTGGTCCAGATTACTCTTTTTTTTGTTTTTTGGGGGGATTTGGTTTGGTGTTTGTTTGTTTGTTTGTTTGAGACAGAGGGTGTGTGTGTGTGTGTGTGTGTGTGTGTGTGTGTGTGTGTGTGTAACCTTGGTTGTCCTGGAGCTAGCTCTGAAGATCAGGCTGATCTCAAACTCACAAAGATCTGTCTGCCTCTTTCTCTTGAGTCCTGGGATTAAAACTTCGAGCCACCACTGCCAGTCAGGATCACTCTTAACCAAATGGTTTTAGATATGGAACCAAGAATCTGTTGCTTTGGCGAATCTGCCAGTTAGCAGATTTCCATCATTTTCAATTAATCCATTTGAGCATCAAGATGGAGGGAAGGCTTTGGTTTTTAGTGTAGTGCAGGCGCCTTACTCCTCCATTTGCCTCCCCGCCTCTGCCCTTGTTCACAAACTCACTGTCTTCCGAGGAGAACCAGGCTTTTCCTCTGCATCTCCCACCACACTCACCCACTTGACTCAAGTGGAGGGTCGCATACCCTGGCAGCACTGCGGTTCCCCTGGGCCTACATCCCCACTGCTGTGGGGCAGTCACCAGAGAGACGGCTCAGGCACAGGTTTAAGTCAGTAGAAAGTCTTTATTAGCCAGCCAGTGACTACGCTGGGTATTTGGGAGTCAATGTAGCTCCAAGACATTTTCAGGATGAGCTTTTCAGCACAAGAACCATGTCCTGGGTTGATACACTTCTGTTAGCCAGAAGTAGAACAACAGAAGCCAAAAAGCAAAGTAGTACATTAGAGACTTTCTCAGAATGGTGGACTTTGATGGGTTAGGCCTTCATTCTCATTTTGGCTGGTGGTGCTGTGTACCTGTTGAGTTTCACAGCCTGAATGGCACTTCCATCATGGAGTCAGTCGTGCTAAAGTCTAGGACCCTGTCACATCACTACGTTTGAGCTGCTCAGCTTTCCATTTTCTGTGGGACAGATGCAGAGACATACCAATGATGGTTTCACTTGCATTTCTGTAACTCCTCATTGGAACTTTTAATCCATCTGTGCATGCTCTGTTAAGTTGCTGAAATCAGTCTGGTTCGATTTCCGTAACATCCCTTGCTCTTTTGTCTCTCTTCTCTAGTCAGGCACCAGCTCAAACTGTTTTCCTAGTTTCTTGTTCTTGGCCAACTGCTTGAAGCACAGGCAGAAGCATGTCCTGCCTCTGTGAGAACCACCTGCAGAATCCTTAACAAACACAGATATGCAATTTTCCTTTACACTGTGTGAATATATGTGGCTATGATTGGCTTAATAAGGAAGCTGACTGGCCAATAGATGAACAGGATAAGATTAGGTGGAAGAGCCAAACTGAGAATTTTGGGAGGAAGAAGGGCAGAGTGTGGAGTCACAAGCAGATGCAGAGAGAAGCAAGATGGGCATGCCGTACTGAGGAAAAGCATAAGAAATATGGATTAATTGAAAATGTAAAAGTTAGCTAGTAACAAGCCTGAGCCATTAGCCGAACATTCCTAATTAATATAAGCCTCCGTGTGTTTATTGGGGAGCTTCTGGTGATACAGAAACTCCATCTACACACAGATTCCTCAAAGGGGGCTGGAGAGATGGCTCAACAGTTAAGAGAGCTTCTGCTTTTGCAAGGGTCTAGGATCTGTTCCCAGACTCCTTCCCTCCACATCCTACCCCAGAGACCCAAGGTTCCTCTGGGCTCTAAGCTTTGGCCTTCATTACCCACTCTCTCCACTCCAGTGCCCTGCCTCCACTTCATGTCCCCAATACCCAGCTCCCACTCTGCTCAGCCTGTGACTTACTCAAGGGATCCACAGGCCTCCTATATGGGTTAATTTTGCTGACTTGAAGAAGCAAGGCCAACTAGAAAGGAAACCTCAGTGGAGAAAAGACTTCTATCAGATTGGTCTATAGGCAACTCTTTCGGGCCTTATTATTATTACTTCATCATCATCATATTTATATTTATTTGTTATTATTGGTTAGACAGAGTCTCACTGTGTAGCTCTGGCTGTTCTGGAACTCTCTATGTAGACCAGGCTGGCTTTGAACTTACAGAGATCTACTTGCCTCTGCCTCTTGGATGTATGTATTAAAGGTGTACACCACCACACCCAGCAGTGGGGCTTTTTCTTGATTAATGATTGACGTGGGAAGGGCCCAGGCCTGTAGCACGAATTCTAATTGGGATTACTAACAAAAACTCGGAGTCAGCTATCAGGGGTGAAAGCTGAAGGATTGGAGAAGCTGAGCGGCAGTCACTAGAAAGCTCCTACCGCTACCGTTATTCAGACCAAAGGGACGAGCCTGTCTCCACAAATCCTCAGACTGACTGCTGTCTCGTCTCCATGAATCCTCAGACTGACTGCTGTTTCTATGAAACCTCAGACAGAATGCTCACATGCTCACTACCTTGAGCTCCTGTCTCCTTCCACCTTATATTCCTCTCTCCACCCAGCCATATCACTCCTGTCTCCATCTCCCTAGTGCTGGGATCAAAGGCGTGTGATTCCCAAGTACTAGGATCACCTTTGTGTGAGTTCTGTTTCTGTTTTAGACAGGTTCAATCTCTTGAGCCCAGGGTGGCCTTCAACTCACAGAGATCTGTCTGCCTCTGTCTCCTGAGTGCGGGGGTTAAAGGTGTGTACCACCACTGCCTGGCCTCTATGGTTAACTAGTGGCTTAGCTCTGCACTTTGATCTTCAGACAAGCTTTATTTGTTAGATTACAAACAAAATCTCACTCCACAGGTCACTGTGGACAGTGCCACCCTGTGCAGGGGGCCCCTGTGAAGTGTAAGAAAGGTAGCTGAACATAGCCTGACAGTAAGCAGTGTTCCCCTACGGGTCCACTATAGTTCCTGCCTTGAGTTCCTGTCCTGACTTCCTGCAACAGCGAACTATGATATGAACTCATAAGTCAAATAAACCCTTTTCCTCCCCCAGGCTGGGTTAGTTTGGTCGATGTTTCATCCCAACAGAAACTTAACTAGAACACCCCTGAATGCCAAGCCCTTGGCACTTTCACACACACAAACCTCTTTGTGTTTGGAGGTTACTTCCCAAACTCCTGTCTAAGTTCCCTCCTGGGCTGGGAGCTGGGGAGCCACAGTACATCTTATATCTTACTCCACCTTTCCACTCTGCAGCCCTGTAACCAAGTGAGGGGTTGTGTAACAATCTGGGGGAGGGCATGTGAGCGAGAAGAAAGGGAAGATGAAAAGAGTGTGTGTTAGGAATATGTTTTATTATCATTGGTTAATAAAGAAGCTGTTTTGGTCTATAGCAGGGCAGAATATAGACTGGCTAAAAGAGAGAGAGAGAGAGAGAGAGAGAGAGAGAGAGAGAGAGAGAGAGAGAGAGAGAGACAGAGTCAGGGTGATGCCATGTAGCTGCTGAAAGAAACAGATGCCAGAACCTTACCGGTAAACCACTAGCCTCATAGCAATACATAGAATAATCGAAGTGGGTTAATTTAATATAGAAGAGTTAGTTAATAAGAATCCTAAGTTTATAGGTCAAGCAGTGTTTCAATTAATTAAGTTTCTGTGTGATTATTTCGGGTCTGAGTGGCCGGGAAACAAACGAGCAGCCTCCCACCATCCACTGGTCTAAGGATGGGGCACGGAAAGGTGCGAGAACACCCCCAGCTCCTAATCAGGACTTGCCATTCTGCTGAGTGGGAATCGGGAGTTGGTGGGGGGGACACTGTTTAGATGTTCTCTGGTTATGGGAATTGGGAGTTGGTGGGGACACTGTTTAGATGTTCTCTGGTTGAACATATAGAGGACGGTGTGCAGCTAACAAATGCAGAGCCTGAGATGAAGATGTGAGGCCATTGGTGCTGCGGAGCCCATACCCTGAATGGTGGCTGAGGGACACCCCTAGATGGGATAGCGGAGACATCTTAGAAACCAGAGGAAGAAGAGAGCCGTTCAGTGACCGAGCGGCGCAGTGTCAGATGCCCTGAAAGCCATGGCACAAGGCAGTTACCCCCAACTACCAGCTCCTCTCCTCCCCCTCCTCAGGCTTTCGCTCCCTCCTCAGGGAACAACCATCTTGTGGACTGAACAGGCAAAGCCACACAGCCCTCCTGAGAGCCACGCAGCCAGGCTTTGCTGGCTAAGGCAGCCCCTCGCCTTGATTTCTCCTGGATGCAGCTTGAGAGGTTGCCAGGACGATACTGTTTCCCCACACACCCCTGCCCTAGCCTTTTCTAGACAGCACAGCTCCTCTGACGTCCCTTTCCTCTCTCTATCGTGAGAACAGAAATGGCTTTTCATCTATCAAAGGGATGTGACTTCTACTTTGTATAGTGGTGAACATATCTCAAGTCTAGAATTCAGATCAGGGAGTAGGGTGGGGTTAAACAATAGGAAAATATTGTGGCCACGGTGTTTTAGTCTCTAGACCAGTGGTTCTCAACCTGTGGGTCATGACCCCTTCGACAAACCTCTTATCTCCAAAATATATTTACATTTATGATTCATAACAGTAGCAAAATTACAGTTATGAAGTAGCAATGAAAATTACTTTATGGTTTGGGGCCACCACATTGTGAGGAACTGTATTAAAGGGTCACGGAGTCAGGAAGGTTGAGAACCACTGCTCTAGGCCATGGTGTGGTTTCCAAAGTTGGATTGAGGATGAGCTTGTTAGGCCACAGGCGAGTGTGTGGTGAGGAAGACGAAGAGACACTAGGTGAAGCAGGCCTCGCTCCCCCCTACCCTGGAGATGCAGCATGTCCCTTATGTCGGCTTCAGACATTCAGCTCCCCCTGCCTCAAGAAGTCACTTGTTCAGGCTTCTGGGTCTATTCGCTGCACTTAGGGCCCAGCAGCTTGAGCCTCAATAGACACAACGACCCTCATGGAGCCACAGCTTGACCTTAACTCCCACTCCTGACTGGAATTGTAAGCCATTGCCGGGGTGTCCGAGCCTTGTCTGGAAGACAGCTGGATTCTCAGCCAGCGACACTGGGCCTTCTCACAGGAGAGGACCACGGTGCCCTCAGGGTTGCTATAAATGCACTGGCTGTGGGCTGCCCTCCCTTCCACTGCCAGATCCCAACTGCCCACTGGCTCCCTGTCATCCAGCCCCAGGGCCAGGAAGCCCAAGTGGCCCGGGGTGGCAGGGCACACCAGCTGTTCCTTCTTCAAGCTGGGCACCGGTTGGCCCTTAAGGTAGGCTGGGCCTGCGCAGTAGGTACGGGTGTTGAGGATCCGGTCGTTGTAGAGGCGGAGCCAGCTCGTGAGGTAGGCCAAGTGGCAGTCACACTGCCAGGGGTTGCTGGACAAGGCCAGGTTGAAGAGGTCGTAGTTGGTGTCAAAGATGCCCCCGGGGAGCATGGTCAGCTGGTTCTTCGACAAGTTGAGCTGCTCAAGCCTGGACAGGTTCTGAAAGAGGGCCGGGTGCAAGGCCGTCAAGTTGTTGTCGTTCAAGGAGAGCCTGGCCAACTGCTCGAGGTCCCTGAAGACATCCTCGGGAAGGTGTGTGATGGCGTTGTGCGCAAGCGTGAGGGAAACAAGGCGGGACAGGTTGGCGAAGGTGCCCTCGGCGATGCCCTCCAGCTGGTTGTAGGACAGAGACAGGTGAAGCAGCCCTGGGTTGTGGGTGAAGAGGGTGGCAGGCAGAGCCCGCAGCTCATTGCCCTGCAGGTTGAGATTGGTCAGGTTGCGGAGGGAGGCGAAGATGGAGGCCGGCAGGTGTCGGATGCCATTGTGCTGCAGCCACAGATTTTCCAGGCTGAGGAGCTGGGAGAAAGCCTGTGGCGACAGCTCCGTGATGCCGTTGCTGTCCAGAAAGAGCTCCTGCAGGCTGCCCAGATTGTCCAGCAAGCCCTCCGGGAGGCTGAAAAGCATGTTGTTACTCAGCTTCAGTATCTGCAGGCTGCTGAGTGACTGAAACAGCCCCTTAGGGAGCTTGCTCAGAAGGTTCTGCTCCAGGTTGAGGGTTCTCAGGTATCGCAGAGGCTGGAACAGTCTCCCAGGCAGGGTCTGAAGCTGGTTTCCCTGAAGCTGAAGGGACTCCAGGTTGTCCATGTGGTGAAAGAAGTCCTCAGGCAGAGCCACCAGCCTGTCGAAGTCCAAGGTGAGCTTCCCCAGTGAGCTCAGGTTAGAAAAGACGTTGGCACTGAGACTGGAGAAGGGGCTGCCTGTCACCTCCAGGTCCACCAGGCTGGGCAGTCCCCCAAAGGCATCGGGTTCCAGGTGACGGACCTGAGTGTTGAGGAAGACCACCTTGGTCAGGTTGCGACTACCGTGGAAAGCCCTGGTCCCCACTGTGGTGAAGGCAGTCTCCACGAAGACGATGTTTGTGACGTGTGGGGGGATGTCCAGTGGAATGGTGGCCAGCTGCTCATCTGAGCAGAATACCTCTCTGTCAAAGCAGTCACAGCCCATAGGGCAAGGCTGGATGGGCCTGGTCAGGAGCAGGAGTGAGGCCCAGCACAACCAGACTCCTGGAAACATCTTCTGGATCCAAGAATGACAGAAAACAAGACAAAAAGGAGTGCCTTTAATAAGGGCATCACACCGCAGTGCCCAGAGCACGGGAAAGTCACCCCCACCCTCTGGACGAGCTCAGGCTGCGAGCAAGAACTGACCTCTTCAAGGAGGTTATGGTTTGGGCAACAGCTGCTTGTGTGACCCATTGCTGGGGACAGAACCTAGGGCTATCTGTACATACTAGCAAAGCTTTGGCATAAGCCCCAGGCCCACGTTGTGTTTTGAGCACCTTGTTCAAACCACTTGCAGGTGGTAGTGGACTGGTTCTTATTTCCTGGAAGCAAAGGTGTCAGCCACATCATCTGTCCAGATACCCTACAAGTTAGTGGTCATGAGAGCAAGACCTGGGTCTTCTAGAGCGTCCATGTTCTTTCCAGATTGGAGAATGATATGCAAAGAGTCAAAAAAGCGAGGGAGGGGGCACAGGCTGTGCCAAATTGTTAGGGATAATATGTAAAATATGGGCAGATTAGCCCTAGATTGGAAATTTCTAACCCCAAATCCTTCTTGATTTCCAGATCTCAGCATACTTCAGAGCATGGCTAAGAGGGGTCCCTGCACCCTGCTCTTAGTTGGGTGACACAGTGCAGGGACTGGGCTCCTCAGAACTGTACCCAATGCTGCCCTCACTGCCTTGCCTGTCCCCCGTAGTTCCAGTATCAGGGAACCTCCTAGGGTGCAGACACAAAGGCTCTACAGGAAAGTCCACATTTCAGAATTATCTAGGAGCAGGAGGTACACCTTCCCACCCGGCAAGACCAACTGGGCCTCAGCAGCCCCTGCCCATGAGAAGACAGGCACTCTGCGAACCACAGGGGGATCTTCTCTCTTGTTTACCTGACTCAGGGAGGTTCCAACCCCACGAGTTCAAATCCCAGGCTCATGACTTTCTAGTCGAGTGACCTGGGGCGTGTTGTTATCTGTGCTTCAGCTTCCTTAGGTGCAGGCTGGGGATAATAACAGTCCTGACAACAGCATGGTGACTGTGAGCACTGGTTGAGCATGCTCAGACCAGGGGCACAGAGTGAACGAGTAATCAGGAAACTATGCTGACTGTTAGGTTGAAGGGCACCGTCATTACAAAAAGACTACTTGAACAACAACAGCGAAGATATTTTATAACTAGAATACGTGTGACTTCACAAAAAAAAATTTTAAAAATTAAAAAATAAAAATGAAAGAAGCAAGAAAATACTCGGGCTGTTTCTCTGCTGCCCTCTGCTGGCGGTCAGGACTGGCGCCTACAGACTCCATCGGGTTCCTTGAGTGGAGCGCCACAGGCTTGGGGAGCAGCCACCCTACCCTGCCCTGCAGACCCTCGCCATCAGCGGGCTAGGAACGTGGCCTAGAGAGCTCATGAGAATAAGAGACGTGCAGTTCTTGCTGTTAACGTGCCGAAGGGGGTCCAGTTGCCCATCACCCTTCCTGACTAAAGTTTCTCAAAGGAAGTTTCCAGAAAAAAATCCCTCAGAATAAAAATCTATACAACTCAGGGATTTAAGGGTCCCGAAGGCCTTTTCACGGGGATAGTAACTGTGGAGGTTCGCATGAGAAAGGCCTTCATGGGCTCATATATTTGATTGTTTGCTTCCCAGCTGATAGACAGTTTAGGGAGATTAGGAGGTGTGGCCTTGTTGGAGGAGGTGTGTCAGTGGTGCCCACACCAAGCCCAGAGATGTGTGAGCTCTCAGCTACTGCTCCAGCACCAGGCCTGCCTGCAGCTGCCATGCTTTTTGACCTGTGATCACAGACTCACCCTTTGAGACTGTAAGAAAGTCCCCAACCAAACGTTCCTTTATAGAAGTTGCCTTGTTTGGTATGTCTCTTTGCAACAATAGAACAGCAATGAAGACAGTGGTACAAGCCAGGGTCCCTCCGCAGACCACGGAGTCATGCTTATAAGTACCACAAAAGGATAGCCAGGGCCACCTGAGGACAGAGTCTCCCATTGAGCCACAAGGTTGGCCCAGTCTTCCTCTCACCCTTTAGCCTGGGGCCTACTCCATACACTGTCCTTAGAGAAAAACGACTTGAGAGACTTCCAAGAAAGGCAACTGTCAAGAATCCAGACATTAGCTGGGCCGTGGCAGCGCACGCCCTTAATCCCAGCACTCAGGACTCAAAGACAGGTGGATCTCTGTGAGTTTGTGGCCAGCCTGGTCTTCAAGCAAATTGCAGGACAAGCTCCAAAGTTACAAGAAAAACCCTGTCTCAAAATACCAGAAGAAGAAAAGGAAAGTAAAGAAAAGAAAGAAAGCCGGGCTGTTGTGGTGCACACCTTTAATCCCAGCACTCGGGAGGCAGAGGCAGGCGGATCTCTGTGAGTTCGAGGTCAGCCTGGTCTACAAGAGCTAGTTCTAGGACAGGCTCCAAAGCCACAGAGAAACCCTGTCTCAAAAAACCAAAAAAAAAAAAAATCCAGAAAAACAAGAAAAAGAATCCAGACATTGAAAGAAACTCTGACCCTTGGTCTGGTGGCACAGAATCCAGGTGCAGCAGATCCATCCAGGTGTTGGGGAAGTGTCTAGCCTCTGTGGGGCTGTGGGGACATGCGTCCAGGAGGAGGACTGAGGGGCTATTTTCCCTACCCCTAAAGTTCTCAGACATGCAACTTGCTCCTTAGAGAAGCCTGGAGAAGCCCATCACAGGGCAACCAGGACCACATCTGTATTCTAAGGGTCTTCACTGAGCCCACACAGCTTTCCTATCAGACAGGGAATGGGTAGGGAAGACAGGCTCGCTCTTCACAGTTACAGGTCCAGAGTTTCCCCACCCTCTGTCTGTCCACATCTCTTTTCATTTGCTTCTTGAAGGGCTGAGTAGACTCGTTCCTTACAGCTGTTTTCGGTGGTCCACAGGCTAAGGGCATGGACTTCTGTGGCAGTCTGGGAAAGAGGGCTCTGGGAAGCTATCCACGCTAGCACACATCCAGGTAACTGAGGCATGGCTTAAGATAGCTATACAGATGGGCCTGCACCCTGGGCATTGTCAGCTTCTCAATCTTTGGGAGTGTCCTTAGGAGAGGGGCCAGAACAGGGCTCTCTCAGGTTTAGAACAAGACTCTCCTTTCTCATTCTACAGGGATAGGATGGGAAGACAGAGCAGAAATGATCCATTCCTAACCCTAGGCTCGTTCCCATTCCAGAGTAACCAAGAGCTAGCACCCTGTAGCTAGACAGTATGGGTCTAATCCTGATTAGCTGTGTACTTTAGCTAAGTTGTGCAACCTCTCTGTGCTTCGCTTTCTTCATGATTAAAGCAGTGAGCACAGCTCTGTTTCCTATGTGGGGTTCTCATGAGGATAAAATGAGAGAATATACAGAAAATCCCAAGCCCAGAGTGGGTATGTTGTGAGTGATTCAGCCTGAAACTGGCTACAGTTCTCCTGAGCTCAGCAAGGCTCAGCTCTGGTAAGATGTCATCAGAGGTTTGCTGTGGAAAACCTGATGAACTCATGGGATTGCACCACCATGGAACAGAGCGAGCCTTCCCACAGCTCCATTCCTAAGACTTTCCTTCTCAGTGACAAGAAAGGCACAGACTCTCAGAGCCTGTGCTTGGGTCTCCTTCTTAGCCCTCTCTCAAGAGAACAAGTCACCGGGCACTCCCACTTCCAGAGACAGTGGAGGTCTGCATCAGAGGTCACAGCTGTGGCAGTTGCCTTCTTTGCATCAAGGAAGACCAGGGAATGGCCACGACCATGCCCCATTCTTCAGAAGGTCAAGGAAGCGCATCTGGTCTTTCCTCTATTCTGAAGTTTGGAGTATTGTCTGATTGTTTAGGCCGACTGGGTGCAAATAGCCTTCATCTTCTCAAACGGCTTTGGGCTCGTCTGTGCCCCTGGCTGCTTCCCACACCCGATTGCCCTTTTTCTCTACCCCACAAACAAATCTAAGGGCTGAGGGCCTCAGGCAGGTAGGTTAGGACTTGCACAGCCCCTCTCTGACCCCCCTCACCCCACCTCCAGGTCCACTTGCGCCCCAGGCAGTAGAGAGAACTCTGAGGTCCTACCTCTGAATTGGTTAATCCAGACCATGGTGACAATGGCAATAGCTACACTTGAAGTGCAACATTATTACTGCTACTGAGACCATAAGCAACAAACTATCAAAAAACAGAAGCCATGAAGCTGGGGAGATGGCTCAGCGACTAAGAGAATATACTGCTCTTGCAGAGGACCTGCGTTTATTTTCAACACCTCCATGGGGTGGCTCACAACTGCCTGTGATTTCAGTTCCAGATTTCAGACCCCACTGCCCTCTTCAGCTTCTGCATACACACACACACAAACACACACACACACACATACACAAGGATACGTACGTGCACAACGCACACAAATACACACACACAGACACATACACGCACGCATACGCATATGCGTGCACGCACACATACACACATGCACGCCATGCATGCACACACTCACACAGACACAAACACATACACACACACATATGCACGCATGCACGTACACACAGGCACAGTGAAAACAAATTTTTTTTTTTTTTAAGAAATAGAGGCAGTCGGGCTGGAAAGATGGTTCAGTGGTTAAGAGCATGTACAGCTCTTGCAGAGGACCCCTCTTCCTCCCGCCAAGTTCAGTTTCTAGCACCCATGTCAGTAACTCCAGCTCTAGGGAATCCGACGCCCTCTCTGGCCTCCACAGGTAATTACACTCATGTACATAGACATGCCCAGACATAATTGAGCTGTATAGACTTTGGGTCTGGTGAAGTTTGGTATTTGATGTTTTTTATTTATTTGAAATTTTCATAATAAAGTTTATAAAATTAAAAAAGTTCGAATGCTTGTCTTGAAGACAATTAAAAAGAAAACCCCAGTTCCACCTGTTGGCTTTCTGAACGATTTTCCAGGTGAATCTAGATGCAGCCAACATTTAAGACCACACAATGCTGCCTGCACTTAGGCCCAAAACAAGAAATTAAAGAGATTTTACAATTCTAATGTTTTGTATCAATATTCTTTTGTATGATGGATAGAGTTTGGGCTATAGGCGCTTAAGCTGATAACTAACTTTAGAGAAATACAAGCAAGTTTCTGTTATTCTCCACCCTGCTTGTGTTGTTTGTGAAATCAATAAAATCTAGTCAGTTCTGAAAAAGACTGTTCTCTCTCTCTCTCTCTCTCTCTCTCTCTCATACACACACACACACACACACACACACACACACACCATGTTTAGTGTTGCCCTCAACCTTGGCCAGAAAATGCTTCTCTCTGCAGGGGTCAGGGGTCAGCAGCTGAAGCGGAGACTCAGAACCGGTCACAGTGCTGATAATGAGTGACTACTGAGTGCTCAGTCATAAATGGGACATCTCTATCAATATCCCTCAAAGCTGAGGGACATCTCTATCAATATCCCACAAAGCTGAGGGACATCTCTATCAATACCCCACAAAGCTGAGGGACATCTCTATCAATACCCCACAAAGCTGAGGGACATCTCTAGCAATACCCCACAAAGCTGAGGGACATCGCTAGCAATACCCCACAAAGCTGAGGGACATCTCTAGCAATACCCCACAAAGCTGAGGGACATCTCTAGCAATACCCCACAAAGCTGAGGGACATCTCTAGCAATACCCCACAAAGCTGAGGGACATCTCGAAGAGGGGATGTAAGAACTTAAGAGCTCACAGATGGGGAGAAGTGACATGAAATACGGCCATGACATGGATGTCGCCCTCATGAACCCACTGCAACCACAGTTACCGTCAGAAGACTGCAGCAGGTCAAGCCAACAGGATTAGCCAATGCTCCAGCAGGCATATTGACCGGACTCAGTGGGTTATTTAAAACATAAAAATGCCAAGGACATGAAGGTGGGCGGTAGATGTGCGGGGAATACCTTGGGGGAATGAGGATTCTTGGGGACAGATATGACCAAGATACATTGTTTACACGTGTGAAACTGACAAAGAATACATAAAAGATTTTCTATTAAAGTGTCCTAGGACATCTCTTCCTTGGATCCTCTCTCACTCTTGGGAGTTCTTTCTTCTTTTTCCTTAATAAATCTACATTGGCTGTGCTTGCAATTGTGAACTTATTTCTAAATATTTTAAAATAATAAACACATCGGCTTTAAAGTGAGGAACAAGAAAACTGTTTTATAAAATGGAGGTAACTTTGTGAACCACTAGGCACAGATCCCAGGATCCCCTGGAAGGTGTGAGGCTTAGCCCCACACACAAATCCCAACTCCAGAACCCTACAGTAGAACTTGCTGGTCTGTAGCCCTCAGGTCTGGCATCGCAAAGGTTAAGGGTAGCTGGGCTCTTTGCTGCATTGGTTTTGTGGGGGAGCTGGCACTTTGACATAAGAAGGCGTGGACTGGGGGGGTGTCACTTTCCCACTCGGCCACACCTCCAGCCCCTGAGTAAAGCTGCAAATTACCTGTGCCTACCACTGTTACCTATCCCCACCTGCTTCGGTCCTACCTACCCTCCCAGGCCAGTCATCCCCAGAGAGCCTTCCCAGACTGCCCCTTCTTCACCGAGCATGTCACTGCTGTCATTCGCTGAGTGCTGGATCCGTCTGTGCTCAGTGAATTGGATTCCAACTGGACCCTCAGGGTCAGGGTCCTGAAGTATTTTCACTCCCAGCTCTGCATCCCAGCACCCGGGTCAAGGCTGGGCACAGGAATGTCACTAGGCTGAAGGAATGGAATAAGTGTGGCTCTCTGTGGCCACTCCCTCATCTGCCTAATGAAGTTGACAAGCACTCGGGCTCTGTCAGCCTAGTCAGATCTGTGTTCAAATTCAGACACTGTACTTACCAGTTGTGTAGACTCCAAAGGTTCTCCTCCCCATCTATCAAAGCCTTAATTTCCTCATTAGAGTCCTAGCCCTTCAGGTTGAAGTTAGCCCCCAAGCAGACAGTACATTTGAAGCACTGTATAGTGACTGGCAAAAGGTAAACATTCCGTTTAGCTCTGGAGTGAATGTGAATGTCATCATCTAAGCCTGACATGGGATGAAAAGGGTGACAACGGACACCAACCAGGGTGGACCATGAACCTGTGACCATGCTGCTGCCCCCCCCCCCCTTCACAGCCAGTTCCCCGAGAGCCAGGACTGGCCATTGTCCCCCATTAGAATCTCCCTGGCACACTTTTCCCGCCCTCTCCCAGCTAAGGCTAGCTGATCCACTGAGGGGCTTCTCCTCCTAGGGGACTCAGCTACTGTGGCCTTCTGGGTAAGAGCAGCAAGTCCCTTTGCAGATGTCCCCTGGAACACAGACCCAGGAGGGAGGCAGGAAACCTACCGTGAGGGGCCGGGCAGCTGGGGCCAGAAGCCCGGTGTTTTTCTCAGAAGCAGAGCAGGATTTCATGTGCCCCGTGCTCAGCTGAATCCAGCCTCAATGCTGACCAAAGTCCTGGGAAGGGTTCCTCCCCCTTGTGTGGATTGACTGTTCCCGGAATGACACCAAGGTCACTTGGGCAAGGCCTCTGAAGATTACAAAATGACCCTGAATGGTTCCTGTAGACAGATGCCCAATAGGACTAAAATCCCAGTGAGATTATATATAGGTTTGGCAGCTCTATGACCCTAAAATGCACTATACCTTAAAAGGTACCTCCAGAAGCTGGGCAGTGGTGGCGCACATCTTTAATCCCAGCATTTAGGAGGCAGAGGCAGGCAGATTGTGAGTTTGAGGCCAGCTTGGTCTACAAAGTGAGTTCCAGGGCAGCCAGGGCTACACAGAGAAATCCTGTCTCAAAAACAAAAGTCCCTCCAGGCTGCATTGCACTGAGATGAGGGGCATTTCATTTCAGAGGTGGGGGCTAAGAGGCCACCTGCTCAGCATTCAGTACTGCCACTAAGAGAAAGCCTAAAAATGTACTGCTCTCTTCTTAAACACACACACACACACACACACACACACACACGGACACATGATAGATAGATAGATAGATAGATAGATAGATAGATAGATAGATAGATAATATATACATACATATATTGTGTGTGTGTTGTGTGATGTAGGCATATGAGAGCGTGAGTGGATGGGTATGTGAGCTTGAAGTGAGCATGTGAGGGTGTGAGTTAGGGTGTGTATGTGAAGTGAACATGTGAGTGTGAGTGGAGGGGTGTGTAGTGAGCATGTAAGTTGAGTTGTATGTGAGTGCATGTACTCTGAAGTAGTATGTATAATAAAAATGAGAGTGACTGTGTGGTGGGTATGATCCGGTGAGGGATGTGTTGTGTGTGCATATGCATGCAATTATACATGAGTGTCCATGAGGTATAGCATGAAGGAGTGACCAAGAGAAGCAATATAATGCCTCAGTGCTGGAAGTCTATTACCCAGTGTAATCTGAAGCTGTTTAACTGCTGTGACTTACTGCTTCTTTTGCATATGAACAGATGACATCCCACAGTGCAAAGTTCTGACCAACCAGTAGGAAGCACTTCCTTTCAGAACAGAAGAAGACAGGAGTCTGTTTGTCTGTTTGTTTGTTTGTGCTTTGAGACAGGGTTTCTCTGTTTAGCCCTAGCTGTACTGAAACTCGTGTTGTAGACCAGGCTGACCTCGAACTCAGAGATCCACCTGCCTCTGTCTCCTGAGTGGTGGGATTAAAGGCATGCACTACCACCACCCAGCTGACAGGAATCTTTAAGAGGCAGACAAGCAGTGAACCTGTGATGTGGGTTTACCCTCTGTATTCTGTGAATACCACTGGTTAATAAAGAAGCTGCCTTCAGCCAATGGCTTAACAGAGTAAAGCCAGGTGGAAAATCCGAACAGAGATGTAGAGAGAGTAGGCAGAGTCAAGGAGACACCATTTAGCTGGCTGCCAAGGAGGCAGATGCTCAAGAACCTTACCAGTAAACCACGAGCCTCATGGTAAAATATAAAATAATAGAAATGGGCTAATTTAAGGTGTAAGAGCTAGCTAGAAAGAAGCTAGAGCTAATATGCCAAGCAGTGATTTAATTAATACAGATTCTGTGTGGTTATTTCAAGTCTGGACAGCTGGGAATGAGCAAGCCGCCTCCGGTAACAAACCCGGTGTACCCATGCTCACCCTGGATGGTGTCCAACATGGTGGAGGCAGAATGTTTGCTTTGAGGGCTGGCAGGGCATGCAACCTGCAAATCTCGGGAGGCTCATACCCAGGCTGGCAGACAACTGTCCTATCCTGTTCCCCCCAACCCCCCGGGGCCTTGGCTCCTCTGGAAACACAGCTTGTCACACTCGTCCGCATGTCAGAGCACACAAGGGGGATCTAGCGCCAGAGCAGAGTTTGAATTCTGACTTTTCAAGGAACTAATCATAAGACAAGTGATTTGATCTCTGCAAATCTGTGTTCTCTCCCATGGAGGCACCAGGGAAGTGTGTGTGTGTGTGTACCTATGTGTGTGTAGATATGTGTCTCTGTGTCTGTGTGTCCCTGTGTGATCTATATGTCTATGTGTGTCTGTGTGTGTATCTGTGTCTGTGTGTGTATCTGTGTTATGTCTGCCTGTCTGTCTGTGTGTCCGTGTATCTGTATGTCCCTGTGTGATCTATATGTCTATGTGTGTCTGTGTGTGTATCTGTGTCTGTGTGTGTATCTGTGTCTGTGTGTGTATCTGTGTTATGTCTGCCTGTCTGTCTGTGTGTCTGTGTATCTGTGTCTGTGTGTCCCTGTGTGATCTATATGTCTATGTGTGTCTGTGTGTGTATCTGTGTCTGTGTGTGTATCTGTTATGTGTGCCTGTTTGTGTGTCTGTGTGTCCCTGTGTGATCTCTATGTCTATGTGTGTATATGTGTGTCTGTGTGTGTATTTGTGTCTGTGTGTGTATCTGTGCTTTGTCTGTCTGTCTGTGTGTCTGTGTATCTGTGTGTGTGTGGTCTATGTGTCTCTGTGCATGTGTCTGTGTGTCCATGTGTCCAGACCGCAGACATGTGTGCATATGTGTATGCAGTATGAAGGGATATTTGCATCAAGAGCTTTGGGGATCCTGCACAAAATAAGCATGCAGATCTGGCCCCTCTCCCCATTATGTGGAATTCCAGAAGCCTGTCCCAGGGGACTCTGGGTGATTAGGGGAGGGCAGCCAGACAATAGTTCACAAGGTGACTCTGGGAAATTTATTGTATTGAGTCCACTTTTTTCATCTGTTAAACTGGTCAAACTTTCTCTTAAAGGTCCCCTAGCCACGGTGGCCTATGGACATGTTTGCTAGGGCTGTTCAGCCCCCATATTTTTCCCCAAAGGCCTGTTCACCACCCAGAATCAAATTTTTGTGAAGAATCAACCCATCCAGGCCAGTTTTATAATGGCAGTAAGGGCAGCATCCACAGATGTGAGACCCCTCACCAAGATGTCCACAGAGAACACACTTGTCCCGCGTATATGTTTATTGTTGATTCTGTGCACCAAATCTACCACAAGCAGCATCTAGCGAAGGACAGACCCCCAACCCTGCCCACAACCAGGGCTCACATTCTATAAAACACCAGGGGTCTAGAAAGCTCTAAATGCTCTGCCAAGCAGCTGGGACTCTTTGCAAGGATCGTCTAGTAAGGCAAGTATGATTGTTCTAGAACGCAGAGCAAAGGCAACGGGAGGCAAGTTCACTCTCTCCTTAGGGCCCTGGGACCGGGTGGTGTTTCACCCTGGAGCTTCCGGCTGCCCTCTCTGTTTGCACCACACTGGTGTCTTCCTTCCTGAGATTACCATCATTCAACGGCCAGATCTGGTTCTGACCGTGGGGTCTGGGCCTGAACCTTGGAGTAGCTTGTAGCTAAGTCTAGAACACACGCAAGGCCTGCTTCCTGACTCCAGTGACCGGCCTGCTCTTCATATCATTCCCGAGGCTGGAAGCGGATTCCAGAGTTCCATCTGGATGCCCGTGGGAACTGTGTGGCTGCCAGTGAGAAGCTCCGAGAACCCAGATGTATGTGTACAGCCTGTTTCTTCTGGTCTTGTGATGGAAGCCCTAGACAGCCCATGAGACTTTGTACAGAGACGGTCTGCTGGGCACTGTGCAGAAAAGGCTCCAACACAAGAGGATAGTGGTGGGACTAAACTCAAAAGGAGTCAAGAAGGTGAGAAAGAGATGCACCCAGACCCCCAGCATCTGTTAACATGGTGACTCTAGTTGGCCTTTATTAACTTCTTCCAGCATCCACTCCCCTCCCTGCTCCACATAAATGCTGGCCGTGGTGGTCCAGACACCAGTGAACAGAGAGGGTAAGAGGGCTGAACTCTGTGCTGTATCACAGACTTCTATGGGGTACAGAGCTCATTCCAGCTCCAAGAACTGAGCAAATGCATTACCCTAGCAAATGCATTCCCAGCATCTCCCTCTCTGACCAGAAGATGTGGAGAAATCGAAAGGCCCACGGATAAGGAACAGGTCCAATGACACGATCTGGACACTGTACTGGGGAGAAAGGAAAAGGCTCCCACGTCACTAGCACCTGTGTGCACATAGCTCACTGTCTGTGAGCTCCTAGGCAGGCCATGAGAGACAGCTGCTCCCAGGCCAGACTTTGAGCCAGCAAGGTCTATCCTTGTCATGGCCAATGTCAGAAGTGGTCACTAGCTCCATGTTATAACTGGCAGGGGACCCTGGATACTGCAGATCCCAGCTCTCTCCAGCCCTAGCTCCCTGAGGCCGGATGTAGCTCACAAGAATCATCAGATGGTTCTGGAGAACGCAGCACTGCAATAGAGCAGGCCCAGCTCCCTCTCTTCAGTTCAGGACCCACCAACGGGCCAGTCAGCAGAAGCACACTCACACTCTCTCTGGGGTTAGGGACAGCCTTGGTCCATGTGAACCAGGGTTTGCCTTGAGGAGATATCTTTTGATCGACATCAGATTCCCCAGGGCAGAGTGTGCTGGTTCTCACAAGCATTCTTTCTGGACTATTCTGTTAGGGAGCCGGAGGGGAGGCTCTCTGTTGCCAAGACTCAGAGGGATTTCTTGTTTGCTCTGTAAGCACCATTGCAGGTTGGGAATACATTTCCTGAGCCCTGTGGTCAGGGGGAGTCCTTCCCTCGAGGATAGGAAAACCTGACATTCTCCATTTCACTGTTTTGTTTTCAAAACAAACTGTCCTGGAACTCATTCTGTAGACCAGGCTGGCCTCGAACTCAGTGGTCTGCCTGGCTCTGCCTTCCAGTGCTGGGATTCAAGGTGTGTCCCCACCGTGTTTGGTTGTTCCTGCTTCTGCACAGGTGTATCAGTTGTCCTAAGAGAGCTAGGTCACCTTGACCGTAACTGTTGAAAGTGTGGAAACAGACACAGGTGTAGCAGGAAACACAGTCAAGGCAGATGAATTGTGACTGTCACTCAAAGAGAAAACTCTAAACTAAACCATTCAGTTCATAACCAGAACCCAGAGCAAAGTGAGCCCACGCCCTCATGTGAACTTCCAGCCTGCCCTGGTATCTGCCGTCTCTGAACACCCTGGAGTCTGGCTACCAGCTGACTAGTGTTGATGAAGCATTTGACCACAATTCCTGGTTTCCATTATACTTGGTTATTCAATTGGAAGATCTCATCTCTGAGCTATTTTGCTTCCCCCAAATGGAGAACAAAAATTAGAAACAGATATGGGCATATAAATACCCATACAAGGACTGGTTGAGGGGATGCAGATGAACAAAACAGGGCTTGTTGGCGGGGAAGAAGTGTGCTTCCTCAGGCTACTGTACTTCAGATGCTTCTGGTCTGGCCAGCTCAGTTGCCTCTTGTCCTGACTGTACCTCTCTCTCTTTCTCACTCCCAACAGCTAGACCTTTGCAAAAGCTGCCCACGGAGGGGTAGGGGAAGCTGGGGAGGATCCCTCCCTAGCCCATGGAAAGCTAGGAAGTCCACAGCATCTCCAGAAGTCCTTCAGAACAAGCTTAGAGTGGAGACACTGTGATGTCATTTCTTGGTATCATGCTGATCACACAGATATCTATTGAGATTGGGAGAATTTATCAAGCTGTACGCTATCACTCCCACTTTTTGTATGAACATGATCCTTCAATATACAATCAGAAAGGGAAAGCGAAGGGCTGATTACAAGGGCCCTAGGCAGGTTGTGTCCTTTAGCCATTGTTAATGAGCTGACTTCCAAGTTTTGAGAACTTAGTGACTGCGTGATTTTATACCATAAAGGGATAAGATCTTCGGAGGAAAGCTAGAGGCTTTAAACGTCCTTCTCCAAAGGGCTGAACGTGTTGCAACAGACGCTGATGACAGTTCTGCCCGAGGGACCGACAGCAGAGGTGTCTTTCTGACTTACAGCGCGTGCTCCAAGCCAGGGCAGCGAGCTAAGAGATCTAAACCTTCTCACGGAGAGAACTTAAGTCTGCCTTTGGCAGCAAAAAAACAAAGGGTAACCTCTCACTTGAGGAGGCAGAGTCAAGCCACGGCACAAAAAGAGAAGCAAGAAAAAAAAATCAACTTATATAATACTTTGAGGCATGGGTTGTCCCGGCAGAGAACTAACTATCTTATAACGTGAGCGGGCCTTGTCATCATTAAGTCTACAGAGGCTGAGAGGGGCTGGGTGCAGCAGTGAGGATTTGACAGAGGGTCCCTCTGAAGGATGCCTCTGGGGTTGCTTGTTTGTTTAATGACCAATTCGATTTCTCTAGGAAAAAAAGGTCCTGAAATGCCTGCTTCTCTATAGAAGACTCAGGGGCTCAGGACAAGACGGGGGCGTTTTCCCCGGGCCATCCGAGCTTGACTGTGTGGACCCAGGTTTGGAAGCTGAATGATCGCATGCTTTGGTCCTCTGGTGTCATCGTTCCCCAGCCCTGCTTTAGCCTGCTTCCCTAACACTCATTGGGAGCCTTCATCTGCATCAGGACCGCCTGACTTCTCTTCTTACAGCAACAGCAGCAGATGCAAGCAGCTAGGGAACAGGCCAAAGCAATGATGCCGATCACAATGGCGGCAATAGCCAGCCCCGTCTGGGCATCAGTCATGCCCCATGTATTGCGGTCATCGGAGACGTCGACAGTGGTCAGATCTGTGTAGTCTTCCACAGCAGTGGTGATCTCTGTGGTAGAGGAAATGGATGTGGTGTCGGGATAGCTGGGTGACCCTGGCTGATTAGGGTCTACATAGTGTGGCACTTCCGGGTAGCTAGATACGTCAGGAACCTGGGCACTGGGCCCAGGGATGATATTGATGATGACAAGAGACTGGCCTCGGACATTGGCTGGGCTGGAACACACTGGAAGAGTGTCTGTCCCCAACCGGGCTCTGTTGAGAAGGAGCCAGTTATGAAGTGGGAGGATATCTGAGTCACACCTCCAGGGGTTGTCATAGAGACGAAGGTCACACAGGTTCACCAAGTGGTCAAAGATGCCCAAGGGCAAGTTCTCTAGATTGTTGTTCTGCAGCTGGATGGTCGTGAGGCCATTGACGTTGGCGAAGATGCTGCCGGGAAGCTGTCGAAGGCGGTTATTTTGGAGGGAGATATTATGCAGGTTGGACAGGGCTCGGAAGACATTTCCATCCAGGTCCTGTAGAGCATTGGTATGGAGGGACAGTTCTCGCAGGTTTGTCAAGCCGTTGAAGGCTCCAGGGGAGATGGAGTTGAGCTGATTGTGACTAAGAATCAGCACTTGCAACTGGGGCAGGTTGATGAAGGTGTTGTCGGGGAGGGAGGAGAGGTGGTTGTTGTAGAGCCAAAGCTCCCGCAGGTTGGGCATAGGCCCAAAGATGCCCGGGGAGAGCTCCTTCAGGGAATTGCCGAAGAGCGTGAGCTTGTTCAGCTGGGGCAACTGCATGAAGATGCCAGGCGGCAGCTGCGAGATGTGGTTGTTGGACAGATACAGTTTCTGGAGGTTGCGGTTATTGTGGAACAGGCCAGGGGACAGGGTGCCGATCTGGTTCTCTTGGAGGGCCAGCTCCTGGAGGTTGCCAAGAGCATCAAAAGTGCCCATGGGGATGTCTGAAAGCCTGTTCTCATACAGCCGGAGCACCTGGAGGTTGCCAAGGTTCTGGAAAACCCTAGGTGGCAGGTGGGTGAAGCCGTTTTTGCCCAGGTTGAGCTTGGTGAGGCCCACCAGGTGGTCAAAGGTACCTTCGGGGATGTATTCCAGATTGTTGCCGTGCAACTGGAGTTCCTTAAGATTACTAAACTGGGAGAACTGGGCTGGCTGGATCTGAACCAGTTGGTTATTGGACAGGAGGAGGGATTCCAGATTGTCCAGGCCCTGGAAGAGACCAGGAGGCAGCATCTGTATTTTGTTGTTGGCCAGGCTGAGGTAGCGCAGTGAGCCCAGGTTGCGGAAGGCGCCTGGCATGATGTTGGACAGTTCGTTCTTCTCCATCCTCAGGGCGATGAGGGCTGAGACGTTGAGGAACGGGGTCTCCGGGATCTCGGTGATGTGCGTGTTGAGGATCTGCAGGCTCATAGCATTCCAGGGCAGAGGGGTGGGCACTGCCACAATCCGTGCCCCCGTACACTCTACCTGGGAGGCCCGGGAACAGGTACATTCGCTAGGGCAGCCATAGTAGGCCAAGCCTGCAGCCCAGGCTTGGAAGCCCACCAGCACGAGGAGATAATATTTCAGTGACATGGCCTGTGCGGGGAGAGATAAGCTGTGTGAGTCACCGTCACCTCGCTGACCACCAACCTGCAGTTTTAACCACGGCTTCCAGCCCCACCCTCATACATGGAACTCAAAATTCTCTCTGCTTTGGCCGGAGAGCCTCTGGCTCCATGTCTGCACCCTTGCCCGAGCAATCGCTTCACCCAAAAGCTCCTCGTGCTCACTCAAGCCTCATACTTCTGGGTCAAGTTCAAGTCCAGCCATCATTAAGAACTTGTCTAGATCTCATCAGTGGGGATTAGTCACCCCCTTGTGCCCCTTGTGCAGGTAATAACCCTGCCAGCGCCATGTCACAACCAGCTAAACTTAGGCGGCTCTTACCTGTCTTTTTCCCTAGTCAACAAGCTTTTTACGGGTGTTATCATACAACCCTGCGGCTTGCTAAGACAGAAACTGTATCTTTAAATATGTATTCTATTGCTAATTAAGTCTTTGAGAATTTTGTGCATACATAGGTTGTATTTCAGTCTTATCCCCGATCCCTCCACTCCTCCTAATTCCGCCTAGATCCACTCCCCACCTCTCTACTGACCTCATCCCAATTCATGTCCTCTTTATTTTTAAAAATAACCCACGGAGTCCAGTTTGTGCTGCCCATATACACATGGGTGTGGGGCCAGCCGCTCGAGCACAGTCTACCTGCCAGGGGCCACACCCTTAAATAAAACTCAACTTTCAATAGCTCCTCGGCTAGGGGTGGGGGCTCACAAGCCCCTCCCCCAAACCCATGCTGGAATGTGGACTGGCTTGATTTTGCGCAGGTCTTCAGTGGTTGTGGTGAGTCCATGACAGGCCCTCCCCCACCTGTGGCTCTCACGGTCTCCCCGCCCCCTCTTCAGTTCTCTGAGGAACTGTACCACATATGACACGACCTCTGTAGCTCTCAGCCCATGGCTGGCAGAACATGGCCTGATTGGAAGGACCAGAAAGGCATTGAAAATAAGTCAGTCTATCAATAGGGTCTGAGCCTGGGATGTTCGGGCCACAGGACGGGGCAGTGAGACCCAGCAGAGGGAGGAAACACTATCCCCAAGTAGCTCTTCCTGCCCTGGCCCATCGCCAGCAACACCACCCTGGCTCTTTCTCAGCCTGTCCACACGCGCCTGATTTAGATTTAATCCAAGCCATCTCCTGATAAGCAGCCACTGTCTGCACCACAGGCTGCCTGTCTGGAAGAGGGGGCTGGGCCTCAGCTGATGCCTAGGGTGTGGCTCCTGGTGTGAGTCTGGTTCCCACAGGAAAACACTGGGTGGCCTGGAGTAAGTCCCTGAAAACAAAGACGCACTTAAAGTTGAAGGGTGTAAATGGGTCCAGATGTCTCCTTAGGCGCAGGAGTCAAATACACAGAGGGCCTGGGGTTTGAAGTCACCTATACCAATGCTAAATACAGAGCCAAGGGCGTAGTTCCCTACGTGGGTATTGGAGGTACAGCTTGGCCTTGAATGAGAGTTCTCAGGCCTCAAACTTCAGCTTCCTCATCTGCTAAGTGGGGGAGACAACCATTGTTTTCCCTCGGGGTTGTTGTGTGGGTTGGACGGGAGAGGACTCAAAGGGCATCCTAGGCATGGCTGTATTAATCCACGCACGCCCTTGCTCCCAGTTTACCCAGAGTACACATTTATGGGCCCCTGAAGGCAGCAAGCTTAGTCCGGCAGGCTTAGTCAAGGGACTAAGGATTTTTTTGTGTAGACATGAGAGGCCATGATCTCTGCCCACAGTTCAAAGGAGCCTATAACTCCTGAGCCTCAGGAGTTGCCACCGTTCATGATTTTATGGGAGGCAGGCAGCAGGGAAACTGAGGCTCCAGTCTTAAGGCTCCAGTCCCCAGGTTTCCAGGTGAAGGCTTTGAGTGGCGAGCAGTGCCCCTCCTAAGGGGCAAAACTGATGACAGGCAGGGATGTCAGTGGGCAGTCAAGGCACACACTGGGCAAGGGGGGCACTCGGTAGCTTCTCTCGGTGCCCTGGGATGATGGGGTCCTGAGCCTAGCTCCCCACCCTGGCCTAGACTTCCTACACCCCTTTCATTCCCCCGACCAAAAAAGCAGCTGCGAAACACCCTATTATTATCTCCCTCCCACATAGCCCTCAACTTTTCATTTATTCTCAGTCCTTTCTAGCTCTGGCCTGCTGAACTCTGATGAAGGACTTGCCTAAGTATGTATGACTATGGGGGGAAGACAAAAGGACAGCATGGCCACTTGAGTCTGGTGGCAAAAGTCTAGGAGGCAGGTAAAGATGCGGGCCACATTTAAACAGCGAGTCAGGTCCAAAAAGAGAGAGAAAACTTTTTACACAGAGGACCCACAGATCCAGGCATAGTGACTCAAGCTACTACTCAGGAGGCCGAGGCAGGAAGATTTCTGCAAGCCTGAGGCTAGCCTGGACTACGGAGTGAGACCTTGTCAAAAAAAAGAAAGCATTAAGAAAATTAATTAAAAAGCCTAGGCACAGAGAGCTCTGTCAAGCCACTGCTGGGTGAGTGGAGGCAGGTGGATCCTGGGAGCTCTCCAGCTGGACAGCCAGCCTAGCTAAATGGAGGAGCTCCAGGGTCAGTGGAAGACTTTAGCTCAAAAATTAAGATGGGGTGCAATCGAGGAAGACACGTGAAGTTGACCTCTGGCCTCCGCGTGTGTACCCAAAGGCACAAGGACACACCTCTCACCCCACTCCTAACAAACACACACACAAAGAGAGCACAGGGAAAAAAATGGCTCCATCTCCAAAATGTCAGGTTTTGGGTTGGCAAGAACAAGAAAACAATGCTGCAAGAAAAGCTAACGGTCTTGAGAGAAGTAGGGAGTGTGGCAGGGAAGGGGTGTTGGTCTTACTCGAAAGTCCCAGATCAGGCCCCTTCTTATTATGCTATGCTTGGTACCACTCTGAACGTCAAAGCCAATGACAAACTGGTTTCCTTTTTTTTTTTGTTTTTCTTTTTTTTCTGAGACAGGTTTTCACTGTAGTTTTAGAGCCTGTCTAGCTCTTGTAGACCAGGCTGGCCTCAAACTCACAGAGATCCACCTGCTTTTGCCTCCTGAGTGCTGGGATTAAAGGCGTGCGCCACCACTGCCCGGCTGACTAACTGGTTTCTTAAAGAACTCCTAGATCAGGGGTTCTCAACCTTCCTAATGCTGCGACCCTTTAATACAGTTCCTCACATTATGGTGACCCCAACCATAAGATTATTTTCGTTGCTATTCCATCACTGTAGCTTTTGAAAACCAATGGCCTAGAGGCTGGTGAGAGGAACAGACTATCCAAGCATCCACCGAAGGAGCTGCGGAGAGATTTCCGGAAGTAGAGAGAGAATCCATGAGCCTTTCCAGAGTGTGAGGAACTGCCAGAGACCAACTCCAGTGTACCTAGGTTGTGGCACAGCCGAGTTCAGTTCACACTCAGTGTGCACAGCCTCACCGAGGCAGCAAGCTCCATGTTCAAGCATAGCTGCGCACTTTTAGATGCACTTTGAGATGAAGAAAAGATTCCTACCCCACCCAGAGCAAGCAGTCTGTGGAGAAGACAGCAGATGCCCAGCCCATGGCTAAGACTATGGTTCTATGGCAGAGTCTCAGAGAGTGGTAGTGAGAACCACCCATCTTCCAGGAGGCTGGGCAGTCAGGGCTTGTGTCTGTCCATTCCCTTGGTAGATATGTGTGAGACTCACTCCTGGCTGAGTCTGAACTACTAAGTTTTCATAAATATTCCTTTGCCTAGCTCCAAGGATAATGTCATAGCCCAAGTAATGGAGAGTGATTATGTGCCCATCACCCGGAAGCCCTGCCTGTTGCTTTTCTTGTAGGAAGCAGCTCCCTTGTGGACCAATCCCCCAGCTAGGCGGGGATATCAGGCCAGCCCGGTGAAGACTCTGAGCTCTGGGGCTGTGTGTGTGTGTGTGTGTGTGTGTGTGTGTGGTGGTGGTGGTGGTGGTGGTGGTGGTGATGGTGGTGGTGGAGGAGGAGGAGGGGTTGGTGGACACTTTGTAGCCTAGGAGGAAAACCAAAGAGATAATTCCCTGTGGGAACAGGCATTGCTGTCTAAAATGGACCACACTCAGCACAACAAATATTTCAAGAATTCCCAATGTCTTTTTATAAATCCTCCCCCATCTGCTGGGCCCACCCAGTGCTCATGCAGCTGTTTCCAGTTTTCCAGTGGTTGTGACTGCTGGAGCCCAGCCTTTCCCACCTGCCTGCTCCTGACCCCCTGCAGAGAGCACCAAGAAGGTGCCCTACTCCTGCAGACGCAGCACTCAAAGCCAGCCTGGGGCTAGACCTTAAACTCTCAGAGGTGCTGCAGGCCATGGCCTTGGCCTCAAGGAGCCTATGTCGGCCCTAATAGCCCACGCTGCCCAGTGCTGCTTGGCAGCCATGACAATGGCAGTTAAAGGCCCTCAAAGCTGCCCTAATTACAGCCTCCTCCTCCAGGCACTGAGCGCGTCCTCAATCATTTGGGCCAGCCCCTGGGGAGGGGGGACACCTGGCGTCAGTCGGACCCATGTGGTCAGAAAAGCTGGGCAGACAGACCGAAGGATGGACGGCTCACCTGGACATGGACGCAGCCCCTCCCCAGGAGTGGAAACGATTGAACAGGGTGCTGGCTGTGGGTCTTTTTGCAGAAACACCCTGTGACTCACAAGCGAACACATAATTAGCTTTGAAGCCCTGGATGTCTCTGCTTGGGAGCTGGGCTTTCTTGGATTCGTCCCATTGTTCATCTTCCCTAAACACAGCATTCCCTGGAAAGAGACTCCTTACTCCAATGCCACAAAGTGAGACTTTTGAAGAGATCCAGGGAGACACCTACTCTACAGTGGTCTTGACATTAGCAAGCCGAGTTGAGGTAAATACTGCAGGCCTTGGTTTTCCCTTCTGGAAAAGCTTCCGAAGCCCTTATACCCATCCCCTCTTCCCCACGAAGAGCCACCTGGCTAGGTCCCACTTGCACCCCAAGGCTTGAAAACCCTAACTCTCTCAAGCCTG